GTTGTGATCACGTGAGTGCTGCATGCTGGATCCAAGCGCTGCTGGATAGAAACACTGGAGTGGAGGCAGTGAAATGCTGGAACGGACTGCTAATATCGGAGCGCTKATATCGGACATTTTTTATGCAGGCCGATAAAATCCGATACTCGTTTTTTGGCTGATATCGGACCGATATCCGATATCGATATCGGATCGGGACACCCCTAGTTTTTTCCTCTTACAGCACCGAGCTCATGTTAACACAAAGCTTGTTTTGCTGAGAAACACACACAGATGGATTTGTTGTACCCTTTCATTAAAGAACGAAAAACACAGAGGTCGCAGAAATATATTGAAACTGACAAAACATAAAGTAGGGATGCACGATTTATTGGTGTTAATATCGGTATCGGCAGATATTGGTCATTTTTTAGAATATCGTATTAGTCCAATATGTAAAACTGGGCCGATATTAACGTCCGATATTGATTTACTACTTTTCAGTCTGCATTGCCAATGCAATGCACACTATTGTGATTCGTTTCCCATTCAAGTCATCTCATCTTTGCCATGCTTCTCCTCCTGCATACTTTGTCCTAGAGCTGCCATTGTAATTTATATCTATAAAGCCCCTGTGCCAAATGATGGCTATGCCTTTTGGTTCCTGTAAAACTGATAGTTTTTGAAATATTAAAGTTCAATAAATTATAATGGCAGTCAATGGAGCCTTGTATTGGTCCAATACTGCCCCCTGCTGCATCTACACAATATGGTACTGCACCATAGTTTCATAATATTTAAATGCAGTAGTTCAGTGATTACAATATTAATATGATTGTATTTTGATGTTTTACTGTAATACTGTCTTTATGTTGTCCTATTGCTGTAATATATTGCACTTAAGTGTCAATAATTGCATTGGCAAGGTAAACTTTTTCTGTATACATACAATCCAATCCCTGGGATTGTCCTCTGCCTCATCTCCTGTTGTGTCATGATGAGCACTGTGGGCTTTCATGCGGGAGATCAGGGTTCAAATCCAGCTACTGCAACTTTAACAAAAATCTCTTCAAACTTCATATTGTCACCCAATTACCTTAATTACAAACACCTGCTGACGTGACTGGCACAAGCTGGTATAGAAAACACATTTGAACTTGGTCAAAGTTCATTCTGAAAGTCCAGTGCTCCTGCCTACATTGTCCTACAACTGCCATTGTAATTTCTATCTGTAAAGGTCATGTGCCAAATGATGGCTATGCCTTTTGGTACTTGTACAACTTGTAGTTTTTGAAATATTAATGTTGAAACTTTATTCCAAATTCATAAAATG